TCTCTGCACCAACGATTTGCTTGGTCATAAGACAGTTGTTTTATTAATGGCATTGCTTGTTCTGTATTCCCCAAAATTCTGGTAGCTGTTTGAATAAGCCTATCTACAAATTCAGCATAAGGTTCATTAGCTCCTTGTATTACCTTAGATAATTGACCTTGTAAACCTTCATGTCCTTGTAAAGTCTTCCATGCTCTAATCGCCTCTACAGCAATTTGTGAGTATACGCCAGGATCATATGCATTTTGTTGCTGCCGATCCTCATAAGGTCCCTTTCCTAACAACATAGCTAGATTTCTCTGAGGATAACCAGCTGCTGCATTTCGCCTAGCCATCTCCTTGCAAAATTCCTCATTGGCAACCTTCCATAACAGGTATTGACCTCCATTTAGCACAGCTTTACACATATTAGCCCAATCTGCTGGTGTCATGTTCAAGTTGTTAATGGATTCGACCAAGCTTACAGTGAAGGGTGCTTGAGGACCATAGGTTGTTACAGCCTCTTTTAGCTCCTTCACTGTTTTGAAATTTAAACCATGGCAAATTCGCTGCCCTCCTACCTCAAATACAGGGCAAGTTAATACTTGAGATCCTGTCTCAGGATCCCAACTATCAACTGCGGGGGTTGGGGGTCTCCTAGTATATGGAGGTGGTGCTGTTGATTGGACACTTATGCCCTCTGTTAGAGGTGGCGCTGTTGGTTGGACACTTACGCCCTCTGGTGATAGAAAGGTGTTATTAGCAGTCTCCTGTTGTAACTTTTCCCCTGATGGCTTTTTCTGCTCTAAACTTCCTTCCTCTGTCTCACTAGCTTGAAAGACCTTCTTTTTACTTGAATCTTTATGTCTTCTCCTTCCTCTACCTTTGTCTGAACTGAAGGCTTTGGACTAAGCAAACCAGATACGTTCGTCCACATGGCAATGTGCCAACTGGCAGAGTCCCTGGGTTGTTCTTTTCTATTCTTTTTAAATCTTCACCATGATGGTTCCATTGTGATATATCTAACAACTCCTCCTTAAAAAACTATGGGCTACATTTTTGTATTGTATCGACGTATGCCCTGACTGCTCTTGATTTTACTGGGAAGCCTCCTTGCTCTAACAATTTACTTAACACTTTTTCGGTTTGTTTTTTACTAATTGCTGATCCCGTGTTTCTACTATAATACAACCCAACAAGATGACGCCAAACAAAACCGAGACAGAATGAAATAAAAATGGAACCACACAAAATCATTGTATCAGCCTTTCTATCCTCCTGACATGTGCATCCGTCCTTGCTCCCTATCTGTTCCTCAGACGCAAATAGTTTTTCCTCAGATGTGAGCGGTTTTTCTTCCGTCTCACTCATCTCCAGGGACAGGAAAGTTAAAACGAAAGTGAAGCAAAACAAAAGAGGAAACGTAGAATGGCTCCCCATCCTCTCGCCCTGCCCTCAGGGGCGAGCAGTTTACTTACCCTCAGTCGTTCCCCGTGCTGCCACCAAATGCCGAAGTCTGGCTGGGCACAATTCAGGAGCCACTTGTCAAAAGAAACTAACTTTATTTTTAGAACTACAAACACCAAACAAAACAGCTCCTCAGGAAAAAACCCTCAGAGCCAACTGCCACCACCGGCTTCCACAAGCCTCTCACCCCCACCCCAGCC